ATATAATTCTATGAAAGTCTTGGACATGGAGGACTCAGTCTCCATGACAACGGCAGACACCGAGTAATACTATGTGGTAAGTTGTTACCTCCAGTTCGTTTTCATCAAAAATCTTTATCAAGTCAATGAGAATGAGTTCGGTGAAACCCTGTGAAACAGATATGTGAAACATGATCAAATCATTGCATGTCAATATAGCATGTTTAGCTATAAGGAATTATCTAACTTCTGCTACTACCTAGTGGCAATAGCTGGAACTACAGATAACTTTTTATTGTGTGGGGGATTTGATCATGTACCTCCAAAAAGGCGTTCATCTGTTTCTGGACCCGGTTCACAAACCGCCACTGAATCACCAGGCTGTGCAGAAAAAAACAACAACAAAAAAACAAAGATTTTGTTGGTATAAGATGCTATATGTAGTAATTTACAAGTAGAGCAAGAGAGCAACTCACTCTATGTATTCTTTTTTGTTGTCATTGGTTACAACCATATCTGATCCGCTTGGCTTTAAATCCACCTGATATGTCTATAAATATAAAACATTTTACAATAAAATTTTCTCATTTAAAATGACTCACACTTCAACAAAAACATACATTTAGACACATAATGGTGTTACCTGTCCAAAGTTGTCCTCATCAATGCAGAACCGCAAGTCCAGTTCTGTGGGGTCGTTTTCCAAAATCCACTTGAGAGAGTTGTAGTATTCACTGTCCTACATGGTGTACATAAATGTAAAACAGAAATGAGGAAAAATTAGAAAAGTATACACGTCACACACTAACTTCAAATCAATGCCTTTAAACAACAGATTTCAATGAGAATTCCGTTTTATGAGGTTTCTGAGTTAGGTTAGGTATATCTTAAAATTGGTGTGTGTGTGTGTGTCTGTGTGTGTTAACGCACCACTGACTCCATATCATTCAGTGTGATCTGTTTGACCAGCATCATTTTATAGAACGGTCTGATGAAGAAACCTGCAAAAAAACAAGAATGCATTTCTGTTTGTAACAAGGAAAAGCAACTACAAGTCAAACCTCCAAAAAAAAA